TATTTCATTCAAACCATTTTGAGGGCCATTACTGAAAAGTGCTGACTCAAGATATCCTTCTTCTGATCAAAAGCCATAGAATTTAAATATCGGATAATTTCTTCTAATGTTGACCAAATATTAACTGTATTTATATGGTTTTGGACAGGCTGCTAATATAAAACTTAACTCCACAATGAAAGCTTTCAAACAGAATATTTTTTATAAATTCTCAACATAAAGTGAGGGATAACTATCGATGACTGAACAGTTAAAATATTTTCAGCCCCAAAATGCTACAACTGGACAAAGTCTTTTTTGTTGTCCATTAGACTTTCTTTCATTTTTTTTTCTTATCTAATTCTTAAAAAAAGCATTAATTTCATCAGTTTGATTTTGAACAGAATTGGAGGGTTTTTGGATATCCCTTTGAAGAGCCGAGGGTTTTGGTATTTGACTCTTTGGCACACCTGACCATACAAATGGTAGATTTTGGGGTTCATTTTCCCATAAACTTCTATGGTATCAAAATTTGAAAGCCAATGTAGATGACAACTGGATTGTTTGTAACATTCAGACTGGCATTTGGAACTGATTTTCTCAATCGCTCTCTTTCTTCTTTGTCTTTTGGAAAATGAGAAACTGATATTTTATTCATCTCACACACACTTTTGTTTTACTGGCTTCTGTAATTTCTTTTGCGAGCAATGACACAACACTTCCAGTGCATTGCTGGAAACTAAGTAATATCTAAAATGATTAAGCTTCTTATGCACAATTATTTCTTTTACTGCTTCAGTTTAGGGGTAACTTTTTAAGCCAAATTAATTACACACTTAATCCTAACTCTTACCTCCCCGCTATACCAATAACTTAAAAGCAGAACATTTAGAAGGTTACCTTAAACCTGGGAATCCACTTTTTAGATATATTTTTATTTTTTTTTATTTTGGTATATTGTTTAGGGGTATATTTCTAAAAAAAAAAAGGTTTACAAAATATTGCTTAATCTTTTAATTAATTATCGAGTTAATTAATTATCTAAATTTCTAGCACTTGTCAACATAAGATCAGCTATTATCTGACTCTCTTCCAGAGTGCTGCTCCTCCAGGCAACACCTCCCCCTCAATTTAAAGGGAAGACTGTGGGGTTTGCTCTGTGTCCGAGTTGAGAGGGCTTTGTCTATTTTTGAGACAATGCCTCACGGAGGGCCAATCCACCGAAGTGCATTTTAATCTCGGCCTTCTTGTGTCAAAAATTAGTTTCTTTCTCAATATAAGTAAATAAATAAATACTTTAGAAGAACCTAAAAAAAAGCCTGAGCAACAAGCAGCAGCAGCGCGGTTAATATTTCGTTCAATGCTTTGTTAGAAGATTGAATTAAATATCGAATTAAATTTTATTATATGACATTAAATTTAAGTAAGAACATTCTTAAGTAGTTTTTTTTTATTAATTTATGTAATTTGGAAAAATTTTAAAAACTAAACAATAAACATTAATATTTGTTTGTTTATTTTACCTTAAAGAAAAAGGCAACAAATAAAAAAAAAATCTATGAATACATTTTTTTCTTTATGAATAACAACAATATTAGAGAAAAATATTAAAATAACTTTGTGAAATAATAATGGTAATTTATTCTTAATAAAATTCGAAGTATTAAAATCTGTTAAAAACTAGACATTAACTTTAATATTATTTATTAATGTCATTTTTGCTTTAATTTTTATAAGTATATCATTGGGTCCTGGGTATGACAAAAAACTACATCCGCGTCCAGGGTAAGACGATAAACTACGTCCGCGGCCTGGGTATCAAGATAAACTACATGCGCGTCCTGGGTAAGACGATAAACTACATCCGCGTCCTGGATAAGACGATAAACTACACCCAACAGCAAGGCCTCTGATCAGGAGGATTTGAGGAGCGTGGAACCACCTCTTAATTGCTGGTGTTCCCAGGTCCACCCTAACCCGGTGTGGTAGCACCTGTTAGGGTCCCAGTTATGGGCAAATAGTTAACCACGAAACTGAGGTAAAAAGCATTATGGAAATGTAAAAATAGATTTTAATACCAGAAATACTTTGTAAAATTATTACCAGAAATAAATTTTGAAGAAAAAAAACTATTACCAGCAATACGTTTTTGAAAAAAATATTACCAGCAATACATTTTTAAAATAATATTACCAGCTATACATTCTTGAGGAAAAAATATTAACAGGAATAGATTTTTGACAAAACAAAAATATTACCAGGAAACAAAAGTTGTCGGCATTAAATGACCCATTGAGGTTGATGTGCCGTAAAACAAAACAAAGAAACAAGTAAATCATTACAGGTTCCTCAAAAACAAAAAGAAAATGTGGTAAAAAAGAATCATTTTTAGAATCACATATGCAAGATGTAAAAAAGAGAATTCGTTATTGAAGCGTGACTGTTTACTTTTTCAAGAGCATTGAATAAACTTTTAACAGAAAAATATTAAATAATAAACTTAAACTTTTAACAAAAATGTTGAGTCAGTGACTACTAAATTGACTTTTTCACGATAATTTTAAGAAACTTTAGAAGATTTTGGAAAAATGACTCAGCAGCAGGATTAATTTCGTTCACACTCACAGCAGTTTTACAATATCAAAAATATACTGAATAAAATATTTATAATTTAATTATAATTATTATATTTCATTAAATTTATGTTTTTAATTAATTTTTGTAATATAAAAAAATTATTTGCTTGTATTTTACGTTTAATGGTAGATTTTTTAAACTGGAAACTAAAATAGTTTAATGTTTAAAAAACACAAATTACTCATAAAATAATAATATAGTAACTCAAAATAAATCCTCACTTCAATTAAATAACATAAAGGATATTGCAAATCTAAGGAAAAATTACTTTGAATTAGTTAAGCCAACAACGCTCAAATTCAAACTGAAACTAAAATGCCCTGCTATTCTCATCGGCCTTCAGTTCTGTACTTACACTACATTATGATTTGGCCGTCTAATATAAAACGCCATGATATTTTAAGTATAAAACAGTGAGTGGAATATGGAAAACAGCAGCATGACTGTAGCTTGCCGCGCTGTCTATGAAACCCGTGTTTTCGGTGGTGTGGGTTCGAATCTCATCTCTGACCGTTAAACTTTACACGCATTGACGCTATTATGTTTCAATCATGAGGTTTTGGAAGTAAATGCAAAATGTCCTTTATTTTGTCTTCTTTCTTTTTTTTGCACTTTTCCTTCTTTTTTGCCTTCTTTCTTTCGTTTTTTTCTAATATTTCACTGATTTCTCTCCATGTTTTTATTTGTTCTTTTTTTCTTATGTTTTGTTTACTTGCTTCTTTGTCGTCTTTCTTTTTGGTTTGTCTGTTTCTTTGTTTCTTTGTTTATTTCTTTCTTTCTTTCTTTCATTTTCTTGATTCTTTTCGAACCTCATGTCACAAATGTCGACTCGAAAGACGAGCCCAGCTCCCACCAATTCCCACTTGGTTCCTAAATGACTTGGCGTTTGGGATAAAAACCCCTTGGAACTGACGGATTTCACCATTTCCTGTACCAGTTGAACATAAATTACAATCTTCTCTTGATTAGAACGTTAAAGATTGAAATTGTTGCAGATAGTCAATTGATTTCCTGACAAAGTCAGCCTGTCTGAGAATCTACTCCTCCAAATAAAAAACAAAAAATAAAATAATAATAATAATAATAATAATAATAAGGCGAAATTCAATTTTAAGCAGTGGTCCCTTTGGCGATTAATACCGTGTTGTAGTCATGAATACTGAAAAGCAAAAAAAACAACAAAAAAAAAACAAAACAAAAAACAACAAAAAAAACATTGGGTTTGGAAGGGGTGTAAGGTTAATTTTATGAAGACCTATATCGAACATTCTACCAGGGCATTTGATGGAAGCTGTTGAAGAAAGAGAGACTGGTTCGAAAGAAGGAAAGTAAAAAGGCGATGAAGTTAAAAAAAAACGCAAAAAAAAGAAAGAAGAAGAGATATTGCCGTGATAATGTCCATCAGGGAATGAAACGCTTTGGTAGAAAAAAGTTTACCTTTTGTCTTTGTTTATATTGACTTTTTACAGATATACTTTTATTTACTTATTTATATTTGAGATTTTGCATTTACATCCATACATACACGCAGGCACACACAGACATATATATATATATATATATATATATATATATATATATATATATATATATATATATATATATATAGACCATATCTATGTAGACTTAGTATATATATATATATATATATATATATATATATATATATATATATATATATATATATATATATATATAGTAGTACTCGTTTGGAAAAACCTCGGATAGTTCAAATTGCAGATATGTTAGGACAATTCGGTACCCGAGAAAAAAATTGATAATAAAAAAGAAAGAACTAAAAACATCAGAACAAGACAAAACAAATCGCCAAGTACTTAAAGTCTTTAGTCCAAAGAAAAAAAACAAATGAGTACAAAGAATAAAACGAAGAGTGCTCAATACTCTAAGTAGAACGATAAACTAGAATGAATTCTAAGGAGCCAGACAAGGTAGGTAGTTTTGCCTGGTTGCTGAGGATTTATTCTAGAATATATATATATATATATATATATATATATATATATATATATATAATATATATATATACTGAATTACAAAATGAAACCCAAATTACCCGATTCAGATGGTCATTTCGTCCTCTGGTAATTGCCAATGCAAATACATTTTGTTAAAAGAATATATATATATATATATATATATATATATACACATATATATATATATATATATATATATATATATATATATATATATATATATATATACACACATATATATAAAGTGAGAGAGAGATATGACGATTGCATCTAGCATGAAACAGACTGTCGCCTCTACGTGTTGACTTCTATGTTCACTTTTATATTTATACACGCTCTATCTCTGATATTGAGCACTTTATCCCATAAATATAGCACATCTTAAGACTATATTTCTTCATATATATATATATATATATATATATATATATATATATATATAGAGAGAGAGAGAGAGAGATAGAAATAGATAGATAGATAGATAGATAGATAGATAGATAGATAGATAGATAGATGGAAAGACTGAAGTAGATAGGTAGATAGATCGACAGAATGAGATAGATAAATATATAGATAGATATGCTGAGATAGATAGATAGACAGACAGACATGCTGAGATAGATAGATGGACAAACTGAAATAAATAAATATATAGATATACTTAGATAGATAGATAGATAGACAGACAGACAGACATACTGAGATAGATAGATAGATAGGAGATTAAGAGGTAGAATTTCTTGATGTTTTTTTTTATTTAAGTAACATTAGAAGGCACAAAAGATGGTTTCTCTTTGTAACTGGCAACGTTTGGACCGAGGATGAATAATGTGGTTTTATTTGCATTTCTTAAAAAAAATAGTTAAATCTTCTTCCAGTTATAAATAAATAGTAAATGACTAGATATTACTAAGAAACTAAGGAGTAACTCTTGGGATTCTCACAAACAAATACACATGTGCATTTCACATTTTCCTCGATTATTGAGAGTTTATCTTATTGTATTACATTTTATGGTTTTGGCAGGGAATATAGCCTGAACACTTTGAACGGTTCTGTGGAATTGTCACGGGAACTTCGCCAGGTACGTCTAATTCGATATATATATATATATATATATATATATATATATATATATATATATATATATATATATATATATATTTTATAGACATATTTTGAAGCATCAGTTTCGACAATTTTTCTCAGGTCACAAAAGAAAGATAGGAATATTAAAGAAATAAGGAAATCAAGTGAGTAGGTGAAAGAAAGAAAGAAAGAAGGAAAGAAAGAAAGAAAAAAAGGAATGATTTGATGAAAGGAAGAAAGGAGAGAAAAAGAAAAGGGGTTAAAAAGAAAGAAAGAAAGAAAGAAAGAAGAAAAGAAGAAATGGAAGAATGCTTTGAAAAAAAGGAAGGAAAGTTAAAGGGAAATAAGGAGAAATGATTGACAAATAGAAGAAAAGAAAGGAATGAAATAATAATAAAAAAGAAGGAAAGGGTGAAGGAAAACAAGGAAAGAAGGATGATAAAAGAAAGAAAGAAGGAAAGAAAATGAGAGTGATAGAAAGAATAAACGAAGAATGAAAAAAGAAAGGATGAAGAAAAAGAAGGAAAGAAAAATAATAGAAGAAAGAGAGAATAGAAAAAAAAAGAGGAAAAGCAAAATAGTCGATTAGGAAAGAGAAGAAAAAAGGTGTTATAATACCGTACCTATGAACACTAATGTCCTAATCCTCATAAATACGTTGGGCACTATTGTAAGAGGGAGTAATATGGTGTTCATTCAGTAACCCTTTCTGGGTTACAAAAAAAAAAAAAAAAAAAAAAAGAAAGAAAGAAAGAGAGAAAGAAAGAAATGGTTATAATACTAATAAAGAAAATAGGAATAGAAAAAAGAGAGAAAAAAGGAATATAGGAAGGAAGAAAAGAAATGAATGAAAAAAAAGAAAATCTGAAGAAAAAGAAGGAAAAAAAGAAAGATAAAAGAAAGAATGGAAGAAAGTAAGGAATAAGGAATATAAAAATAGATAGTCGATGTAGAAAAGAGAAAAAGAAAGGAAAGAAAGGAAGAAAGAAAAGAATGATAAACAAAGAATAAGGAAAGGAAAAAGAAAGAAAAGGAAGAAAGAAGAAAGAAAAGAAAAAGGAAATGATTACTAAAAGAGAAATTACAATAAAATTAGCAAAAAAAGATACTAAGAAATAACAATAAAGAAAGAAACAAAAAAGAAAGAAAGAAAGGAAAAGAAAAAGAAACGTGTAATATACTAAGAAAGAAAGAAAGAAAGAGTGAAAGAAAAAGAAAAGTGTAAGAACTACTAAGAAAATAAGAAAAAAGAAAAGAAAAGAAAGAAAGAAAGAAAGATAAAAAGAAAGAAAACCATAATAAAGAAAAAAGATCGAATGAAAGGAATGAGTAAAATACTAAGAAAAGAACAAAAGAAAAAAAAAAAAAAAAGAAAAGAAAAGAAAAGAAAGAAAGAAAGAAAGAATAAAGAAAGAAAGAAAAAAGAAAGAAAGAAAGAAAGATAAAAAGAAAGAAAACCATAATAAAGAAAAAAGATCGAATGAAAGGAATGAGTAAAATACTAAGAAAGAACAAAGAAAGAAAAAGAAAGAAAAGAAAAGAAAAGAAAGAAAGAAAGAAAGAAAGAATAAAGAAAGAAAGAAAAAAGAAAGAAAGAAAGAAAGATAAAAAGAAAGAAAACCATAATAAAGAAAAAAGATCGAATGAAAGGAATGAGTAAAATACTAAGAAAGAACAAAGAAAGAAAAAGAAAGAAAAGAAAAGAAAGAAAGAAAAAGAAAGAAAGAATTAAAAAAAAACTATTCTTTGAAATTCCTTGCATATGAGTCAGCCACAGGAAGTCATTGCAACAGAAAAAAACAAAAAAAAAAAACAAAAAAAAACCAAAAAAACCCCCAAAAAACAAGCGGTTATTTTGGTCGATTTATTCGGTCCTCACTGAAGAAAATTTAAACATGACTTCCTTTATTTCTTCCATTTAATTTAATTTCATTCATCGTGAATATCAGAAATTTACTTTTCATGTTTTTAAATGAACGCCATTTTTTTATTACTAAAAAATACGTTTTAGTTTCTGCATCATTTTTGTTTTACATTCGTTTTATCTTCAACAGGCAACTGCATTAAATCTAATTTCTTTCTTTCCCTTTGCCTTATCGCTTCAACTTCCCTTCCGTCGCTCTTTTCATTGTTTCGAATACACTTTCGACTTCTTCAACTTTAATTATCTTTCTACGTTCGTTCGATCCTATTCTATTTCTTCAATATTGGACAGGCTTTTACGCTTGCATATTTCCCCTGTCCTGTCGGCCAGAGCTTCAGAATACGTCGACTGCAACTATGCAGAGGGGTAAGATCCCCCGCCCCAATAAGAAGTCCTGAGTACGACGATAAACTACATCCAAAAGCAATGCCTCTGATCAGGACGTTTTGAGGAGCATAGAACCACCTTATAATTGTTGGTGTCTACCTGACTCGAAGTGGTAGCACCTGCTAGGGTCCCAGCTATGGGCAAATAGTTAACCCCAAACCCGTCCGCGTCCTGGGTTAGATGATGAATTATATCCGGCGTCCTGAGTAAGACGATAAACTAGGTCCAACAGCAAGACCTCTGATCAGGAAGTTTTGAAAAGCGTGGAACGAGCTACTAATTGCTGGTGTTTCCAGGGCCACCCTAAACTGTTTGGGTAGCACTTGTTAGGGTCTCAAATATCGGCAAATAGTTGACCCCTAAACTGTGGACAAAGCACTATGAAGGTGTAGAAATAGGTTTTAATACCAATTATACATTTTTTTTTAGGAAAAATTATTACCAACAAGACATTTTTGAAGGAAAAAATACATTTTTGTCGGCATTAAATAACCCATTGAGGTTGATATACCGTAAAACAAAACAAACGAAACCATATGTTTCCCCAATTTTAATTACAGGAAGTGATTTTTTTTCTTTGTTTTCGACATTATTTTTAGTTTTGAGTCAGTCAATAGTTCACTACCGACTGCTCGGTTGAACTCTCTTCCTACGGACGGGAGGAACCCGAACGAGGCTACGCCGAAGGGCAGGGTCTCCTTCGGGGAGGTAAAACCGGCCCTGAACCCGTTTATACGGGTTCAATGGGCATATTTTTGGCCGAGCCCACGGGCTCGAAATGCCCACGTTAAAAAGGCCTTGTGCCACATGACACCCTCGTGGGGGGGGGGGACTGAATATCGTCATTATTTTTTAGTTCATCTCCGTATATTTTTTAAAAAATTTTTATTTTATGACAAATTCTAATCGTAAATTCTAACATTGCTTTCTTAACTATCGGGATTGTCGATATCATCTCGCGAAAAAGTATTCTAAACAAACTCATAGTGGATCCTGGGAGCTTGTCTCTTATCAAAGAATAAAATAATTAATTTCCTACCCGGCTTTGATATGGTGAATATGTTCGTGAAAAATAAATGAAATATTTCCTACATTAAAGGGATTCTTATTTCATCATACAAAAAAGGAATATTACTTTCCAAACACCATATTGCCATATTCAGAAAAATTGTCTGTCATCAAGGAATAAAATAATTCGTCTAAATACCGGGGATTTTGTCCTTGCTAACAATGATGGTTATGTTCTTGGCAAATAAATCTAAAGTTTCTTACATTTAAGGAATTTTCAGTTCATCTCCAGAAATACGACATTACTTTATGAACAATATCATGCCATATTTGGAAGCAAGTCCATTACAAACATTAAGATAATTCGTTTCATTCTGGGAGTTTGTCTTTGCTAATAAATGATTACTATATTTTTTATCAAATGAATTTAAATTTTCTAACATTTAAGGAATTTTTAGTTCATCTTCAAAAATACGACATTACTTTATGAACAATATCTTACCATATTTGGAAGCACGTCCATTTCAAACATTAAGATAATTCGTTTCATTCTGGGAGTTTGCCTTTGCTAATAATGATTACTATGTTCTTGAGAAATGAATTTAAAGTTTCTTATATTAGAACGCCAATATAAATACTTTGAAACAATCTTTTAAAACCATATTCTCCAGTGTTTTATTCCGTAAATATCATAGTCGTGCGTGTGAGCAACGATAAGGTTTTGGAGAGGATGCAAATAAGGAGGAAGCTTGTACTTAACATCAGGAAGAGGCAGCTGAAATTTCTGGGACACGTAATGAGAAAGGAGGGCTTGGAGAATCTGATACTCACAGTTCAAATAGCGAAAAAGAGAGACAAGTGAAAGCAATGCATGACATACATAGCGGGCTTAAGGAAGTGAATGACAGAACTTTGTTTGAGTGATATGGCAAAGGGACGAAACTTTTTGAAAGTTACAAGGGATAAGAGGGAGCGGAGAGCCATGATCGCCTATCGCCTGAAAGGACACGGCACATAAAAAGAAAAGAATATTTGAACAAGATTCCAACAAAATGGTGCCCTAACCAAGGAACTCATCTATCATCAACGCATAAAAGAATTAGTTTGAGTCTTTGCTAATAATGATTATGTTTTTGATAAATAAATTTCATATTTCTTATATTTAAGGGATTTTATTCCAGCTGCAAAAAATACGACATTACTTTCCAAACAACATCTTGCCAAATCTTCTCAACTCGTCTGTCATCAAGAAATAAAAAAAAAAAACAATATCTTTCATTCTGGTCTTTTATTTTTGATATTAATCATTGCTTATGTTCTTGATAAATTAATTTAGTATTTCTTACATTTAAGGGATTTTATTCCGTCACCTAAACTACGACATTACTTTCTAAACAATATCTTGCCAAATCTTGTGAACTTGTCTGTCATCAAGGAATAAAAAACAATATCTTTCATTCTGGTCTTTTATTTTTGATATTAACTATTGCTTATATCCGTTTCATTCTGAATAGTCGTCCTTCCTAATAATGATGATATGATTGAAATAGAAATTTATATAAATTATATTTCTCTTCGAGCGGAAGTTCTTCTTTCAGAAGAGGATGTTTTCAGTTTTCTCTCCTTAATTCGTCTTTCTCTCTTTCCACCGTCCGTCTCTGTATCTTTCGTCTCTTCGACTCTCGATTTTGTTCCTTAAAAATCCACATTTATCACTCCCTATCACCTCCTGGTCGTACGATCAGTTTCATTGTAAGCTGGAAATTCCGTCACCTCCCACCCTTCAACTCCTGCGAAAATTCCCAGTCGACGTCAACTGTCTTAATTAGAAAAAAGGTGGGGAAAAAAAAGAAAGGTCTCTCATTGGTTAAACGAGTTCACACCTCCCCACCAATTATCCGAAACCACGACTCTTCCTCTGGCACTGATTGCAACGAAATAAAGAAAGACGCATAATCGATATCGATCCTCGTCAGGTCTGAGTGACTAGGCGAAGGCGTTTTGGAACCTTTAAATTATCTTGTTCACTGGACCTCCGGGAAATCCACGGAAATAGCGGGTTGCATCAAATTGATTTTCCAAGGATTAACTCGACGAAAGACAATAATTCGTCAGCAAAGTAGAAGTGGCAAGATAACGTGAAAGTCTTTTTTGGTTGATTGATTTCTGATTTACGGCTTATCAACCCTTTGAGGGTTATTTAAAAAAATAGCAAATATTTTTGTTTGGATTGTAAAATTTTTTTGGATATAATGATTTACTGTTACAAGTCCTCCTATTTAACCCATAGCTGGGGGAGAAGATGAAGATGCATACATTTTCCAAGGGTATTTGCGCGTAAGGGAATTTGACGAACACGTCTGGAACTAGAAGTTTTCAACCTTTCCTTAACCTCCCCCCTCTTCTCAATCTTCTCTTTCACTTTCACTCCTCATCCTGGGCATGACGATAAACTACATCCACGTCCTGGGTAAGACGATAAACTACATCCGACAGCAAGGCCATTGATCAGGAGGTTTGAAGAGCGTGAAGTCATGTTTTAATTGCTGGTGTTCCCAGGTCCACCCTGACCAGGGATGGTAGCACCCGTTAGGATCCCAGCTATGGGCAAATAGTTAACCCCAAACTGGTGCCAGAACATTATGAAAGCGTCAAAATAGGTTTTAATACTAGCAATACATTTTTGTAAAAGAAACTATTACCAGCAGTGAAGTTTTGAAGGAAAAAATTATTACCTGCAATACATTTTTAATATATATATATATATATATATATATATATATATATATATATATATATATATATATATATATATGTATTGCCAATGCTTTTTGAAAAAATATTGCCAGCAATACATTTTTGAGGGAAAAAATATTACAAGCAATAAAGGTCTTGTCGGCATTAAATAACCCATTGAACCAAACCAAACCAAACCACTTTCACTCCCTATAACATCCTAATGGCATTTCCGATTTTCTTGGGGTGAAATGATCAAAAAAGAAAATTTTTAAAAAAGGATGTTCAAGTCATGTAGCACAGTTGAGTAGTTCGTGCTCTGTAGCTATGGATGGAGTCTGTGCGGTGCTTATACGGTATTGCTGAGGGGAAGGCTTCCTAGATTTAAGCGGAGTGTTCTCCGTAT